TTCACCGATCCGAATGGGTTTTTGGGGTGGCTAATTAGGGGCACCAATTCTTTTTTTAAACCATTGGTTTAGATTATATGGAAGAATTATTTTTCAGACAAATTTCTTGCATTAATTTTTCCTGTAATTATCCTCAAACCTCTAGGATAATTTCTTTTTACTTCATCATAAAATATTAATCTTTTTTTTTTTGGTTAATTTATTTTGGTTGTTTTGCTTTTCTTGTAACATGGTGTTTTTTTTGCTTGTACTTGGACGAGTAGATTTAATGTACATGCACCATATTTCCCAAATACTTTTTCATTTCTCACATGGAACCTCGTTACTTTGCAAGAAGAACATAGACAAAAGAGATATTATTTAAGCTCTTAATCATTATTGATATCACTACAAAAAAGGAAAAAGAAAGAAGAGAGGCTCTCTACCATGTTTAAATCAAACAAAAGCACCCATTTTTTTAATACAAAACCAGGTTCTACACCAAATAAAACCATCATTACAAAAAAAAAAAAAAAAAACTAATCCTGACAATAAACAAAAAAATAAAATAAAATATTCTCAATAAATTAAAAAAAAAAGTTTATATAAGGTTGCAACTTTAAAATATAGAATTAAAGATGCACCTCAAAATCCATCAGAAAAGGTTGTTTTAATGTTGGAAAACCAGCTAGCTGATCATCTCCACATCGAGATGTATGAATATGTAAAAATAAAAAAATAAAAATTTTGAATCCCAGAAATAATACATCTTGCAACACATTATCTAGACCGTCCATTTTCAAGATTTTCATATGTTTATAGATCTATTTGATTTTAACCATTTTTGGATTTTAAACTTTCATAATTAGATACGAAAATAGGTTTTCGGATAATTCTAAGAATTTTTTACACCAAAATTACAGGATAATATTTGGAGGTGCGATTTAATTGGATTGTTTAAGGTTGCAACTTTATAGAAACCACACCCTTACTTGAAAATCTATTTTCATATTTAATTATAAAAATTTAAACCCCAAAAATAGTTAAAATCAAATAGATCTATAAACACATGAGAATCTTGAAAATGGACTGTCTAGATAATGTGTGGTAAAACGCACTATTTCTGGGACTCAAAATCTTTGTTTTTTCATAAATATACATCTCGTTGTCAAGATGATCAATTAGAGGGTTTTCCAACGTTAAACCAACATTTTCGGATGGATTTTTGAAGTGCATTTGTAATTCTATTTTAAGGTCAGATAATCCTAAAAAAATACTTACACCAAAATTACAAGAAAATTACAAGATATGATAAAATTTGGAGGTGTGCCTTAATTGAATTGTTTAAGGAGGCAACCTTATACAAACCACACCCATAAATCATTGCCTTCCTTTTCTTTGGATAATTACAAGCATTCTTCAAAATACCAACGAGATGGGGGAGGGGAATCATGTCAGTTGTCCTTGCAGTAGGTCTCCTAGATGAATTGCAAAGGGAGGAAGGTGAGGGGGGCGATTGCAATGAGAGAGGATTACAGTTTGTTTTGTTCGCGCCTCATCCCATATTAGATCCATTTTAAATTATTACTTCGGCTTCATGATGGGGGAATCTAGTTTAGGCTGAAGGCTAGGATATAAATTTATCTTTTTTGGCTTGAAATGAGGAAAATAGTTTCTGGTGAATTTTTTTTTCTGCCCCAAAATTTAGATCCAAACAGCATAAATGTGCAATCTCCATGGAAAAACATTAATTGGAAATATTTTTTCGAGGATCTAAACGACCCCCTGAAGATAATAAGTGCTACTAGGAGTGTGAAGAAGAACTGTATGAAGTGAGAAAAGGCCTCATGATCCTCCACAAGATTCAACATGGTCCGGATCACAGTAGACAAGTAAACAATTATAGCTAACTCTTTCCGTCTGAGATTGGAAAGGATAATAGGGTGCAAAATGCCTATACCCGCGGCTCAGCTAAGTATACCTGCCCCCCTTGAACAACTAGCCTGCTGCACCGACTAAGGTAAGCTAACCTAGTAATTAGGTCATTTCAGATGAAGGCAAAGTCAAATATGATGTCGTTGCGTATCTCCGAAAGTTCATTGTTGAGCGTCTATGATACCCTCTTGCTATTAAAAGAAATCCATATGGTGTTGATTCAAGGCCTCACTAGCCCTAAGATTATGAGGCACAAGTCGAATAGGTGGGGGTAGATCCGACCTTGCTTGCAATTGACAATGACCTGCAATTGGGATCCAAGTTTCACAATCAGCCACCGTTCGTATCATGAGAAAGGCACGGTCAACCCATGAGCAGAATCATGTTTGATGCCCCTTGTACCTACCAAATCCCCTGAAGCCATGGCATGATTCATATCTGAAGCTAAGGCGAACCCTATAGTCAGCAGTAGACCAAGCTGGTTCGAGTTAATCCGCAAATTCCTTCAAAGTGGGAGCACTACAATGGTCAGGGCCATGAGATAATCAAGAGGATGGACTACAGGCTCGTTTCTAAGTATGGATTGAAATGTGGAGAGGGACTAGTGGCACACTTCACAGCTATCAAGGCAGCTTCATATAAGTACTGGAATGGATGGAGTCTAGGCTAGGTACTAGATGTTTTGCCTTAGATCCGTAGCACTCAAAGCACTCGCTCGGTGTTCATTGGCTACACAAGCCAGGACCGATAAATCGGTCATTTAGTACCGCACACTATTTATTATATTCTTAATATCCCAAAACTAACGAAGCCCGGGCAATCGATATACATCACGTACTCAAGGACTGTAGTGACCTAGTCCCCTTCAGAGTCATAAACATCTGATAGGCAAGAGGTAGCCCCTCCCAACCCAAGTTGTGATAAGGAAGATCCACCCAAACTTTGAACATCTGAGAGTAGGAGGAGCTTGGAGATGATGGCGGCCAAGCTACTGTGGAGACTAAAAAGAAGTGAATTCGGGTGAAGAAGGCGATCTCAAAATGGGAATAGTTGGATTGCATGTGGGGTTAAACGGGAATCAATTTTTCAAATGCATGTGTGAGGGAGGGTTTCTATTGCAAATTTCCATATTATATTGCTCAAAAAAAAGAAAAAAAAAGATCATTTAATATCCCATATGGTCATAAGTACACCATAGCTATGAGGTATGGCTCTGCCCTATCAATGCATTGCAGAGTGATGGAGTAGGTCACACAAAAAATGTCCATAATTCAGCTATATTATGACTTTCCTGTATTACCATCCAATCCATTGCTTTAATTGTGGTGAAATAGGTTGCCATCCTATTGTCATGATCATATCATTGATATAATATTTTGTTGGGAAAATATCAATTAAGGGTTTGTCAATCTTTACAAAATCAAGAAAGGGGTAAAAAGATGATAATTATATTCGAGATTTAATTTTAAATTTCTATTTCACTAGGGTAAATCCTCAAAAGAAAGTTCCTAGATTGCTCTTGTTCAGTGTTGGAAAGCCCGAACAATTAGAGACACTTTGATAATTTTACTCTGAAAGAGGCCTTAATAGAATGATAGTAATGTCTTTGATTGTTCAGAGTTAAAAAAAACTAACAACATTTTGATATTTGAAATGATATAAAATAAGGGGCATTTATGTCATTTGACATATTCATATAATGAACAAGCTGCTCGCTATTTCTAACTCCAAACAATGAGGTATACTTCTATCATTCTATTAAGGCCTCTTTGGGGTAAAATTATTCAAGTGCTTCTAATTGTTCGGGCTTTCTAATACCGAATAAGGGTGATATGTAAACTTTTTAACATTTTCCTGAGAAGATACTTGATCGAAAAAAAAATTAAAAAACAAACCTTCAAATATAATTTGTGATCTTTTGATCCCTTTAGTTATTTTGTAAGGGTTTCAACCTTTTAACTAATATTTCCTTATTTTGTTTAACGAAAAGAAAGATAACAATTCTATAAGCCAAAACCTTTATTCTTGTCAAAAAAGGAAACCTTTTATTACAGGAGAGGAGGCGATTTGGATGGTTTATAATGATATATTTTGACCCATATTTTTGTGCGTGGAAAACATGCACTACTATTTCATATAATTAGCAGAATTTAAAAAGGTTTCTTATGGTTTACATGCCATGTTCACGTCCCTCTGTTGCAATCTTTTTTTTCTTTTTCCCCAAAATTGCATTGGTTTTTTTGAACCAAGGCTCTTGTGTGCAAAACACCAGTAGTTTGAACCGGTAAGCTACATGTGTCTGTGCTTTGTACGTGAAAACACATACTCGAAACTAGTTGATTCCAAACAGTGATAAAGACGCTAATGGGGAACCGCTATTGCCAAATCAGTATTTTGTATACAAAACATTGGTTCAGGATTAACCCTTTCGAAAAGGTAGTAAAGACATTAGGTTCATTTGGGGGTATTTTGAAAATTTTTTTTATATAAAATATTTTTTGAATAATATAGTAGGTAAGATAAACCACTATCTGTTTTTTCAAGTAGGTTAGGAGTTAGCTTTTTTTTTGAAGGCCTTTATCTGTTTTTTTAAGTAGATTAAGAGTTAGTTTTTTTTTTTAAAAGCCCCTACCCATTTTTTCAAGTAGATTAGGAGTTAGCTTTTTTTGAAAGCATTGGTGTTCAAGTAGATTAAAAGTTAGCTTTTTTTTTTGAAGGTATTAGTGGGTGGTGTGAACGGTGGGAAAGAAAATGGTGACTAGGGTGTGGGGTGTTATCACCACGACCCAGTCCCTTTATCGAGTCTATACAAGGTTGCAATATTAAAATGTAGAACTAAAGTTGCATCTCAAAAATCCAGCGATAAATACTGTTTTATGTTGAAAAACCATCGTAGATATATAAATATAAAAAATAAAAAGATTCTAAATCCAAAAAAAAATACTGCACAACACGTTATCTGAACCGTTCATTTTCAAGATATTGATTTGAACGGCTTGGTATAGACTCACAATGTTTTTTCCTTGAAAGTAGTTGTTACTTTTTAATCAGAGAGGCCTGTATGCCCTACCTGCTAGTGAACGCCCACGCGAAGGCCACCTCCAAGTGATGGGAACTTTAAACGTGACGTAAAGGGCACGAAGAGAGTGAGGACTCTGCCCCATTTTCTAGCGAGAGTGACTGCACTCACTCTGCTTATGTCTTAGAGAGAGCTACTGCTTGTGGCATGAGAGAGATTTAGACACTAAGAGTTAGAGAGAGAGACACCGAGAGTTCTAGAGAGAGAGCAACCTAGGCTCCAGTCATGGCCTTCTCGCCATCAGGGAGTAGGCGTGGCACCATTGTCCGACCCTCAAGGCTCAAGGGAAAGCCCCTGAAGCGCCGGCGGTGCTTTCGCCTTCGCAATCTTCTCTCTACCAATCTCTGCATCCTCGCTTTCTTCTTCTGCGCCCTCCTCTTTCTCTTCGTTATCCTCACCCAGAACATTCCGAAGCCCCAAAATCTCCATCGCCCTCACCATCACCCATTTTCTCGCTCTAGAAACCCCAATTCGTCTCTCTTAGAAGCCCGTGTTGATATAACCACAAAGGATCTTTACGATCGAATCGAGTTTTTGGACGTCGATGGCGGGCCTTGGAAGCAGGGATGGGAGGTGAGTTTCAAGGGCGATGAGTGGGACGGAGAGAAGCTTAAGGTTTTTGTGGTGCCACATTCGCATAATGATCCTGGATGGAAGCTCACTGTCGAGGAGTATTACTTGCAAAAGTCTAGGCATATATTGGATGCTATTGTACAAACCCTTTCCAAGGTTCTCTCTCTCACGGTTATCTCTGATACCATAGCAAAAACCTTGTCTAAGGTTGTTTCTTTCTGTCTGTTATTCATCTCTCTCTCTCTAACATGAAATGGACTTGTATGCTGTTGTGATTTGAGCCGTTACTGAAAATGCCCCATGATGTGCTGAATGTGTACTAAATCATCACGAGTCTTCTTTTATGGACTGACTTACCATTCTCTCTCTTTTCCTTGAATTTTGAAGTGACTTGAGATTTTCTTTCTCAATAAATTTAGCCCAAGGTTATTGTACTTTCCTTGATATGTCTATGAAATGTTCAATTCGAATCAGATCTTCTTGAATTTGTTATTGTTAAGCCAATATACATGATTGCATTTATTTTTAATTCAGAGTCCCAGAGTTTAAAATTCTCATGAGAATTCCATATAGTAGTATTTGATCTCCATTTTTGTGTTTAAAACTTTTTTTTTGGGGCACGTTTGATACGCGTGAAAATACTGTCACGCATACCAAATGTGGAATAAAAATCAAACGTGATTTCTCCCCTGCAACTTGGAATGGCTTCAAATGTTTCTCATGATATGCGTTGAATGCGAAAGAGTTCAGCTGATATGCTTCTATTCCGATATTGCAGTGCGATAACTTTTATTTTTTGGAACTTGTGTTTGAAGGATTCTCGCCGGAAGTTCATATGGGAGGAGATGTCATATCTCGAAAGGTGGTGGAGGGATGCCTCAGCTTCGAAAAGAGATGACTTCATCAAAATAGTCAAGAATGGTCAGTTGGAAATTGTTGGAGGTGGTTGGGTGATGAATGATGAGGTAGTTATTCATCTTGTATTTGAACATTCTCTTTTTTACTTTGTCCATGTGTATATATGAGCGAATGATAAATTTGTTATTGACCGATGGAATGACAAACACCTTGACTGCTCAACGTTGAAACATATATTGCAATTAGTCGATACTTGCTGTAATATTGAGTTAATTGATGGTAATGGAACTATTATTTGCCATACTTTTGGTTTATTTTACGATCTATTAATATGAGATCAATCCACTTGAGACAATTTGGCTGAAAATAATTCTTCGGGTGTAACTGCATTGAAATAGAAACGATACATTGTTTCTTTCTTCATACATGTCAATGAATAAAATGTGAAGAAAATTAAGTGCTTCGAAAAAAAAAAAATCAAATCCTTTGACGTTGGTATTTATTTTTTCAATAGATAAATAATTTTGCATTAAGAGTCTTCAGATACTACATTGACTCGATGAGAGATATGTACAATGGAGCGCTTACTAGTGTACGAACAACTAGTGGAGAGACGAGTGAGTTTCAATAACAATAGGTCTACATCAAGCGTCAGTATTGAGCCCGTACGTCTTTGTCTTAGTTATGGATTAGGCACCTACAGGATGAGGTACCGTGGTCCATGTTGTTCACAGATGACATAGTTTTGATCGATGAGACCCGAAACAACATCAACACAAAGTTAGAACTTTGGAGGGATGCTCTAGAATATAAAGGTTATAAAATTAACCGGACTAAGGCAGAGTATATGGAATGCAAGTTTAATAATAATAGGAGTAGAGACGAGCAAGTAGTTAAGATTGATAGACAAGAAGTACGAAAAAGACCGTACTTTCGATATCTTGGGTCAATAATCCAGGAAAATAGAGAGATTGAGGAAGATGCTGCACACAGATTTAAAGCTGGGTGAGCGAAGTGGTGTTGTGCTAGAAGAATTTTATGTGATCGCCACATACTAATGAAGCGGAAGGGCAAGTTCTATAGGGAAACTGTGAGACCAGCTTTGCTCTAAGGGGCGGAATGTTGGGTGGGTAAAAAACAATATACCCATAGAATGAGTGTAGAGGAGATGAGGATGTTGAGATGGATGAGTGGTAAGACAAGAAGGGATATAATTCGAAATGCATCCATTCGGAAAAATTTAGGGGTGGCACCAATAGGCGATAAGATGAGAGAGAGTAGATATAGGTGGGTTGGCTATGTGTGGCGTAGACATTGTACAACACCTCTTAGGAGGTACGAGTTAGTTCAACTAGAAGCTCCAAAAGGGCAAGGGGTAGGTCCAAAAAGACGTGGTTGGAAGTAGTCCGAAAAGATATAGGGACTTATTGCCTCATTGAGGGTATGACCTTTAAATAATAGAGCAGAATGACGGACCAGGATTCGCGTAGCCGACCCCAATTAATTGGGAAAAGGCTATGATGATGATGACAATTAATTTTGCATTGCTCGTTTTGGTTAATGTGAATTGTCTTCCATATCGCCCTAGGACTTTGTATGTAGGCATTCTTATGCTTGAGCAGTATTGGAAGGAGTGACCTTCTTATAAGTCCTTTTGCTGCACTCATGTTTACCTGCCCTGGGAGATGTTTTGATACTAGGGATGGTTTATAATATTGTTCTTCTTCTTGGCTAGGCAAATGGAAATGACTGTTAATGGAATATATTTCCTATCAACCAGTCTCTTTCAGATGACTAGCCTTTACATTCTCCTTTTCGATGTTCCAAAAAACACTAAGTGGCACCTAGGCAGCCAGGGGGGTCTTGGCCGCACAAAAACCTATGCTTGACGGCCCAATTGGAAAAACATGGGTAGGAAGTGCCTGATTCGATTGTTTTAGGTCCAAATTATGTGTAAAAAATGCATGTTGAGATATAACACATTAAGAATGCATAAGACAGTCCATCCATAGTCCATACACTCCATACCATTAGTCCGTACTCCATACACAGTAAAAATGCATATTGAGGTCCAAAGTATTTGAGATTTGGACAATTAGTTAGTTAATAACACATTCAGTAAAATAGAAAAATATAATCCAACATTCACATTTAGTACTAGACATAACACATAGTCTATAGTCCATACACTCCATACTCCATAATCTATACACTTAAGAGGAAGCAAAAAGAAAGCGAAGGAAATATAGACTTGAAGACTCAAAGCCTTCAGTCATCATCAGAAAAAGAAGGGTCAATTGCTTCATATGCATCAGAATCGAGCCCATCATAATCAAAATCGTCTCCCTCCTCAACATAATGCTCGTCCTCCTCTATTTCTTTTGAATCTGCCTCCCCTTTCTCCTCTTCCTTTGCCCCCTCATCCTCCGTGAAGATGATCTAGTGGCCTTAGGAGAGGCTGTTGTACCAAAGGCCTCCATAACCATATCACATGCCAATCCATCATGCTCCACGACCTCATCATCATCAATCAACCAATCCATAGCATTTTGGATGTCTTTTTTTCTAAAGGGGTCTCTTTTTTTCGCTTAGAAATTCTTTGCTTTAATAGTCTATTTCAATTGACATAAAGTAAGTCATGTAGCCTCTTTGATTCAAGCTTGGTTCTTTTTTTTGTATGAACCTATATGAAAAACTGAGAACACATACAATAAAATGAAACTAATTAATATTACAATTTATATAGTAATCAATAATTACTAATACCAATTAGTAAACTATAAACTAATAAAATAATGTAATTCTTTAAATTAAAGTGAAGTAGAGTAGTAAGTTGGTAACCAACATATCATCTCAAACAAACATATCATGTTAAAAGTATTGTAGTTCCACTCACAGCCGGATGAGGTAGTGGTTAAGCTCAAGATCCGAATGACCATCTTTTGTAAGTTTGGAGCACTGCAACCGTGTTGGCTCCACCAATTGGCTGCATATTGATTATGAATTACGATTATGTATACAAATATTTAAAAAAAAACGACAAACATGAAACTTGAATTTGAAGATTGGGTAAGGTATATTATTACCTGGATCAACTTTTGTCTTTTGCCTTATTGCCATTGCCCTCCCAAAAGACTTCAATGCACGCTTGTAATTTATAAGTTCATTAGCACATGTAATGTCTTGGATTCCCTGATTAGGCACTAGCACATTTAGACACTTATTAAATCCAGTCATAATTGTATCATTTGTTTGTATATTCTTATTAGCATATAAAAAATCTGGATCAAAAAAGCTGCATGCAGTGGTCAGTGTAGCTGCGTATCCCACTTCTCATCAATAATATTCCAAATCGGCTCTCATCATTTTTCAAATTATGGGCTATCTTTCTCTTGCAACTTTCCATTGCCTCGTATATGAAGCATATGGAGGGCTTGTCAATATCAACCAGGCAAAGGACTTTGACATGAGGAAAAATACCTTAAGAGCACCCTTCACCCCTATCTAAAGAGCCTTATATAGGGCAAAATCTCTCACTTTCTTCCCTTTTTGAACCTTGACCCACTTACATACTTTCTAATCATGAAGTGGACATCTTCCTCAACTGAGCTCTCCTTGAATGTATGCTATCTAAATATAAGCCAGATAGTTAATCTCGTGATCCCTGGCCTCACTATCTCCTCTTTATTTGTAACCTGCTAATCATGCTAAGGTGAGGGTGTGCTATGTATAAAGGCTGTAACTGACTTAGCCTAACTGTACATGCAATCTCGCTCATACCGCCAATAGCCTTTAGCATGAGGTCTATGCAATGTGCTGCATATGCTGTCCAAAAGATATTAGGGTAGCTCATGCACAACAAATTAGAGGTTGGAACATTAGGAGAAGCCTTATTTGTGACAACCTGATTAACATGTTGCTCCCCAACCTTCTTGATGCTCTTCTTAAACACTTTAAATATGTACATGACATCATAGCCGTAGCTCATGCGCAACAAATTAGAGGCTGCAACATTAGGAGAAGCCTTATCTATGATAATCTGAATAACATGCTGCTCCCCAACCTTCTTGATGCCCTTCTCAAATACTTTAAATATGTACATGGCATCATGGCTGTCATCAAAGGCGTCAATAGACCTCAAAAAGACAGTCCCTAAAGGACAATTTTCCAACAAATTCATCCGACTTCTTCTCTTCTTGTCACTCCAAGTGTTAATCATAATAGATACCCCATATTGAGCCTATGCATCCTTTTGCGAGTCGACAATCTCCCTCGTGATCTGTATCTCTTTTTTCAAAAGAGGCTCTGAAAGCTCATATAAGGTTGGGGGCTTCAACACAGGCCCAAATTGGCCAATTGCCTACACCAAGGTGTAAAAGCTGCTTTGGCGAGTGGTATTGAAAAGAATGCCCACATTATAAAACCATTGAGCAATATATTGAGCAACTCTCTGTCTCCCCTCCTCAATTCTATTCTCAATGGTTGTTTGCTTCTTGGTTTTCTCAACTGCAACCTCAACGTCATGCCGGTTAAAAATGTATGCAGAGCCCCCCTAACCCGAGGTTTCTTAGGCCCCCTAGATCCAATTACAACTCCCTTTCCTTTCCTAAACTGGGGGAAAGCAAACAGCTCCACCTCATCCCTCCTCCCATCACACTATCATCATAAAAAACACGAACCTTATCCCTTAACTCTGCTATGCATGCCTCTGTTTCTTCTTTTTTCCTTTTTAATTCATATAATCTCTTACCTCCTCCCTAATTATGTCAGGAACCTTTTTATAAGGGGCAACATCCCCCCTGATCCCGGCAAGATGTTTCTTGAACCGGTTTATACCTCCATTGGTTTCTCTGTCACAATAATTACATCTTATACAATTTTTATTGAGAGGATTTGGGTTATAACTGTATTTCCAACTCGGATTACCACTTCTAGTAGAACCCGCAAACGACATTTCGAAATAACAAAGCAATCTCAGATACGAAGTTTTTTCACTAACTTGGATTGCTTGATCTTCCACCTTTGAGATGTTTCCCAATCTCAAATGCTTTTTAAAAACCCTCTAATAAGCTTTTAAAATCTACAAAATCAAATCCAAACCAGAAGGATGATGTTTGGATTGATTTTTCAAAACTTTGAATTACCTGATCGATCTTACAGAAAGCAAAAATGCGGCTTTTTTCTATTTTTTTCGCTCAAAGGTTAAAAAAGATAGTTTAGGTCACAATAAAACCTAAAGCTGCCCCCCCTTTCTCCCCTTATTATTAAAGGGGAAAAAGGACTAAAATGCCCCTTCACGAGGGGCATTTTGGCCCTTGGGTGGGCGTCCAAGGACCCAATGCCTAGAAAGGCCTAGGTGATGTTCTAGGCTTCCTTGGCCTTCCTATGCACTAGGTGGGCCGCTTTTTGAAACTTGGCTCCTCTCATTTTGTTCTTGTATTAAATAAAAAAATCTTTTTCTAACATTTGTTTCCTCTATAGATAAGTTTTGTCATCCACCTTAATCAATGGAATCATTTTACTTCTCCTGTTTGCACTTCTCATCCTGTGACATGCCCATTCCCTTCATGTCACTTCCTTGTTGCCTAAGGAGAATATGGAGTTTCTTTACGAAATGAACTTTGAAGTTCCTTTGCTCTTTATTATGCTTTCATTTATCTTCTAATCTATACAATATCTTATTCTCCTGCCTTCCTTAACGATCTTTATTTAACAACAAGAGTTTCTCAAGGCATGACGCTGAATAAATTCAAACATATCAGACATCTTTACTGCCACTCTTTAAATAAATTCCATGAATCTCTTGCAATCTTCTTAAACCTTTTCAAGTGACACGGATTCAATTTTCTTACTCTTGGGTCCACTTTTCCCAACTGACTTGACATTGCACGTTCTTTCCATATATAGTCGTGGCAGTGAGGTGTAACTCCTTTAATTGCTTATCGTAAATGTTACATATCAGACATCTTTATTGCCACTTTTTAAATAAATTCAATGAATCTCTTGCAATCTTCTTAAACCTTTCAAGCGACATGGATTCAATTTTCTTGCTCTTAGTTCCACTTTTCCCAACTGACTTGACGTTGCATGTTCTTCCTATATATAGTCTTGGCAGTGAGGTGTAACTCCTATAATTGCTTAGCTTAAATGTTTCCCTTCCACAACTGTTATAGGACTAGCCATTATTCAACCTCCTAGATTAGTTGGTTTTAAAATCTGAAACTAACATGAACTCCCTAAGAACAGGTTACGTTTTGAATGTGATTTTCCATAAACGTTCTTCCTATATATAGTCTTGGCAGTGAGGTGTAACTCCGCTTAACTTAAATGTTTCCCCTCCACAACTGTTATAGGATTAGCCATTATTCCTCCTAGATTAATTGGCTTTAAAACCTGAAACTAACATAAACTCCCTAAGAACAGGTTACATTTTGAATGTGATTTGCCATAAATTAAGCAATCCATTAAATAAGGAAACAACATGGACAAAATCTATACAAAATGAGAAAAGGAAGCCAAATGGGATAAATGTTTCCCTGGTATTACTGATTCATTACTTAAAGGGTGTGGTTTCTATAAGGTTACAACCTTAAACAATCCAATTAAGGCGCACCTCCAAATTTTATCATAACATATAATTTTGATGTAAAAAATTCTTAGGATTATCTGAAAATCTATTTTTTATATCTAATTATAAAATTTTAAGTTCCAAAAATGGTTAAAATCAAGTAGATCTATAAACATATGAAATGCTTGGAAATGGATGGTCTAGATAATATGTTGCAAGAAACACTATTTCTGGAACTTAATTTTTTTTTTTTTTCATATTCATTAATCTCGATGTTGAGATGATCAACTAAAGGGTTTTTCAACATTAAAACAATCTTTTCCGATGGGTTTTTGATGCGCATTTGTAATTCTGCATTTGAAGGTTGCAACCTTATATAAACTTTTCCTTACTTAAATTTTGCATTGATTATCATGAGTGGAGCTAAATTTTGAAAGTAGCAATGCTTACTTTGATGGGAGGCCTCAAGTTATGGAAATGTATACAATCAGACCATTTACTTTTTGGTATGAGGAAGTCACAGTCATCATCCACTATTAGATGTGAAATCAGATGGCTAGGATGTGTCATTGACTAGGCAAAAAGTCCAAAATAAAATTTTTCGAACTGTGTGACACTCTTTATGTTGTTGGATTTCACATCCGATTGCTAAGGGTTATTGTGACCTCATTGTACCAAAAGTGAGTATACAATTCCTCAAGTTATTTAGTTAGCCAAAACTCGAGATTCCATGTTTTCTAGCAACTCTTGAGAACTTGTTCTTTTTGGAGATGTCAAATGGCTTTTTCTTTCTCATTTCCTCCTTCTATGGTCCTTGTTCACCATAGGCCGACTGCATGGTAATGTGCTCCATTCTGACAGTAATCCTTGTCTGCCCTTAAGCCAAGTTTTGATCCATTTGTTTAATACTAGTCCTTTTTTTCTGTTGCACTTTCTTGGAATAGTTCTATGCATGGTTTATGTCCCCTCCAGCAATGTAGGAGTAAGATTAGTCTGATCTGCTTTCTTGAAAATTTCCATTATCTCTGCCTCCTTCACTTCAATCAAAATGTCTTTCCCTGTCTCTATGTAATCCCATTGATCGATAGAGTTAATGGGGTGTCCACACTTGGCGTAACCTCCTCCTCTGATCCCTTCCTCTGAAGCCTTCATCTTCCTCTCTTGAATCTGTACTGCAGATCCCCTTTCTATATCCTCAATCTTCTCTATACTCTGTGCCTCCGCTCCCCCACAATCCCTCTGTTTAGCTCCATATTAATGGCACGATACTTTCTACTAGCCATCTCCAAAGCAGCGAACTCTGGAGTCACCAGATCTTTGTTGACTATTTAGTTAAGCTAAATTGCTTAGCAAACTGCATGTCACAGGCATACCTCATATAATTGACCCAAAACAACCTTCCTTAATGTCTATAAACTTGTTCGTATTTTACTAAAAGGACAATTGCACCTACTGTTTTTTCTTGATAGATCAAAAAAGTGAAAGGTTACATCTAGTTGTATGATTGCAAACAAAAGGAACATAACCTGAAAAGAAAGGGAAATGATATCCAAATGTGAAAATTCACATGATAAGCTGTAGTGAAAAACATTCACCCAGCCCTTGTCTTTAACATTCTTATTCATACAGTTACACATTAAATTCATAACATTCATTCCCTTTATCCAATTTTAAAATCAGTTTTTTTTTTTTTTTAACTCAATCTTGAATTTTAAAATGTAAAGAAAGTAAAAAAGTGAAAGGTTACATCTAGTTGTATGATTGCAAACAAAAGGAACATAACCTGAAAAGAAAGGGAAATGTTATCCAAATGTGAAAATTCACATGATAAGCTGTAGTGAAAAACATTCACCCAGCTCTTGTCTTTAACATTCTTATTCATACAGTTGCACATTAAATTCATAACATTCATTCCCTTTATCCAATTTTAAAATCAGTTTTTTTTTTTTTTTAACTCAATCTTGAATTTTAAAATGTAAAGAAAGTAAAAATACTTTATATAAATTTTCTAGTCATTTTTTATTAGGTCAAAGTGGCCAAAGAAACTTTTCATGACCTTTTATTATTATTATTATCAAATATAATGAGAAACTGATTAAAGATTTGGAAGGTTTCATTTAGTTTTACACAAAGGCCGAAACAAAAGCATCCTTTTGTCTAATGCTTCGTGAATCTCATGACTCTACTCTTGGCTGCTGTAACCTTTATGTTATTCCGTTGCTTTAGTGTGTTCTGTCTACTATGTTCCTCTTCTATGTCTTTTCGGAACTTCATTACACTCGATATCAGCAACATATGAGCCTTATCCCAACTATTTGGGGTCGGCTACATGATCTTTTTCCGCTATTCCACTCTATCAAGGGTTATACCCTCAGTCAAATCATAAGTCACCATATCTTTTCTCACTATTTTCATCTATGTCCTTTGGTTCCTTCCCGTTGCCTTTTTAGTGCTTTTCACATGAACCAAATCACCCCTCCTTACTGGTACTGTTTTGGGTTGACGCTATCCATAACCAGACGGCCCAAATCTATTTTCCCTCATTTTATCGCCTATTGGAGCTACCCCTATGTTCCCTTGAATATATTCATTCTAAATTCTATCTTCCTTGTGTTGCTACTCATCCATCTCAATATCCTCATCTCAACTACACTCATCCGTCACACTCAATATTATGAACAAAAAGAGAAAAAGAAATCATTTTCTTTGTAGAGGCTATGATACTCCCTCTTTTTGTTGCCGTTCTAGGACAACATGTGTACATGCTTCTTCCCTTTACTCAAAGATAATTATTATTGGGGCATTTGTTGACTTGATATAGATTAACGAAACTTCAGTGTATGACATGTTTAAAACATATATAATTTTCAATTTCCAATTATTTTGTGATGTTAGGAGCACTTTGAGATAATATTTTAGGGCAATGTGTTTGTGTTTGATAAAAGGTGAGCACTATTAATTGTGGCACAGAAACTGTGTTTGCATGTTGAGTCTTTACTTCCAAGTTCCAAGTTATTTTGTAATGCTTTTCTTAATTTCTTACTATTGACATCTGTGTTTTGCAGGCTAATTCACACTATTTTGCAATCATTGAGCAGGTACATAGGATGTTTTTAACATATGAATTATCAATTTCTTGTTTCATCTTATTTGAATTTTCATTTTTAGAAACTTCTCTGATTTCAAGTGTCTCATGAATGAAACTGTACTTATCGATGTTCTTGGGCATCATGGTGGATTAGAGAGATGATTATATAACAACTCTACATAAATTGTTCATTCTATTGAAAATTATCCTAAATCATAATCGTGGTTCCTTTCCTTTTGATTCTTAATGCCATGAAATAAGAGAGCTCATAGACACTATGAGAGACTCTGTTGTCGCTACACCTGAAGGAGGGAACTTCATATTTCTTTCATGATGATGAGCTTCATTATAGATATAGCCTTATTTATGACATTTTGTATGTGTCCCCATAGATATGATGCATTGCCATCCAACAAGAGGCAACAACACTACGCAAGATCTTTATTTTTTATGGGTTAAAAAATGGTTTTCTGAGTAATGGAGTGTGTACTACCAAGATACCATGGTCAACACCCAAGAAGAATCACTATGAATTATTTGATTGGCGTTCAGGGCATTTGGTTTGATGATCACAAGTGTAGAAGTCGATTCATGAAAAACTTCATATCCAGGCCTAAAACAATTCTAGCTCCTCAACCATTGTACCGACATGTCACATCATGACGCTTAACGGTTTTTCACCTTCAAAGGACTACTAAAACTCAATAGATTTAATATCATTGGCTAATTCTCAGAAGTAGGTGACCAAATGCGGGATGCTTGCTTGATGTAATAGGGGTTCCGATGCGCTATGTGCCGCAATGTGGCTGCAATGTGGGACCATCACTTCCGATGTGGTCAATAAATTTAAAAGACTTAACAAACCTATGAGGAATATAAGAATAAAGAATATGTGATTTGTTTTATAGTAGACATTTTGATTTAGTATTTGCCTCTAATATTTGCTCTGGATCAATGTAGAGAGTATCAGTCTCCATTCCTTAATACAATTAAAATGTAAAATAAATTGATCCAACCGATTCATTAAATTAAAGAAAACACAAAAGAATGTATTATTCTAGCCAAGCACTTGAGAAATAAATAAGCATCTAGCAATGTGGTACACTCTAACATATAGCCAAAATGCCAACTACCAAAGAGTCTAAAGTACTTCACAAGTATATAACATCTAAAGGCCCCAAATCCATGACTTAAAAGGTAAAAAGCATAACTAGATTGGTTTTGATGTCAATTCCAAAATAAGAAGGAATTTTGATTTCTAGTTTTTATCTCCTTACCTCTTGAGACCCTCAGGTACTTGATAATTCTTCACTCGAAATCTTTCACAACATACAAAGAAATAAAAATCCACAAAGTTGTCAAATGCTTTAAAATTGAACGAGAATTTGATTTTTTTTTAGTTTAATGCCCATAGAACCCACAAATATTGGTTTTGAGGGGCTCTTTGGTTTGTGCCCAACCACCCCCTCCCCCCATCCAAAAAAAAAAACAAAAAAAGACGACCCACCAACCAAAGAAACAGAAAAAAGAAAAACAGTTCCCTCCCTTCTGCAGAGAGGTATTACAGTTTTGTCCCAGTTTCTGGGTGTTACTCCACCATGAGCAAAGGCTGCCTATGTGCATAGGAAACTTTGCCAAACCGCTTTGATGTGCGACAGTAATGCATTATTCAGCCACATTTGATAACTATGCTCAGACCCCATTTGATAGTAATGAAAAAGGGATGAGACTTGTGACAAGTAATGTACTCTTTGTATACTAAAATATTAATTCAAATTATGGTTGAGATATTTTTCATGCATAGGCAAAAAAATAGTTAGGTGCGATAAATCATGTCTTATTATTTTATTGTTTTTTTTTTTGACGTGTGAAATAGAGAGGCATTTAAGTGTTTGATAGGTAGATGCTTTTAACAACATGGAGAAACCATTTACTTTTATTCTAAACAACATATGGAACCCTCAAAATGCATTAAGGGTTTTGATTTATTCTCCTAAGTTTTCTTTGGGTTTTTCTTTTTATAGCATTTGGTTACATATGCATAATAGAAATACGGAGTCTGATTACTGTTGCTGATTATGATAAGGATGATGATAATTGTGGTATTCATGTATTGCCATTATGATTCATCAATGCAATTTCCTTAGTCGTGATCTTTTAGATACAGACTTGTTTGGGTTCTTAAGATGTGGATTCTCAATCTTCTTATTGCAATTTGCGAATTGCGAAGGGTGGAGGTTTAGAAAATTGGGTAGGTTTTCTAAGGTTTGGAGGGTAAAGAGGGGAACAAGTTCATGATGATATTTGAAGAGGGATTAGGTGTGGGGTACAGAGCAAACTGGGTTGGTTTGGTAAGGTGATGGGGTATATGCTAATTTCTCTCCTCCAGCCCAGTAGCAGTGATTCTAGTGGCATTACTTAGGCCTGTGTAGGCTCGAATCTCGTTTGATTGGACATTGCTAAGCAACGATATTCTATGGGGATGATGTCAACAATGGCAATCCAATTATGGAACAGTTTGATTGGATGGTACGAAGTAATGAGACTCTATGGGGATGATGTCAACAATTGTCATCCAATTCTAAAACAGAGTACCCCATGCGAGAGGTATTGAAGGATTACGTTTATCATCATCTCCATTATTCCTCTTTTGTTCGGAGGTGTTGGTTGTTTCCTTGACTCTTCCAATGTTTGATGGGCTGTTCCAACGTCTGCTGCCTATTCATGGGTCTCTTCCCTCCCCTCAGAAAGGTATGTTACTTAGGATGCTGGACTCCCTAGGGATTACTTGAGGCATAGTGAAAGAGGACAATAACAGGATTTTTAGGGCAGTTTTCTTGAGAGTAGAGTTAGTTGTCAGTTGATCCTGGGCATGGTCATCTCATGGGAGTGGCATGGGGTCAGAGCTCATGACGTCGCGCAGGTGCATATCACGTCTGATGTCTGAAATTCCATCCATAAAGTGATTGTGCTCTATTGTCTGTCCCTTGGCCGAAGATCTTAAATGCTTCCAGTATTAACCATTACTTTTCCAAGTGCACATTATCCTATGCATATTGTAATTTGGGCATGAGGTATTGTCTGATTGAGGGTATGGCCCTTGATAGAGCTGAATGGTGGAACAATAGCCGGCCCCAAATAGTTTGGATAAGGCTCGGATGATGATGACAATTGTATGTCAACCGTTTCAGGGATAAGTTTAATGAGAACTCTTTGTTTTCTTTCTTCATATTCTCATTTTATGGTCATTGTCAACAAACCTTAACTTTCTGATTTCAAATGTGTGATCACGAGAAACTCATGTAATCTTTATTCATATAAAAAATACGGTTTCAGAATCAATGTCGGATAGAAACACATGGGTATAAATGCTGCTAATGTCCATATGGCCACATGTGTTGGATGTTAGTTCTTCAAATTTATTGATGTCTATTGATTGTATTCTTGAGATGAGTCCATAGACACCCAACTTGAATGATTTTGGAGAAGAATCAAATTCATTGAATACTTAGTATTAAGCAGATTACACACACATTTGACATCAATACCTTAAGCTTGTGGATCAAATGGTTTATTGTCCCATACGAAGTTAATGCTCAAAGGGTTTTTGAGTCAGGTTGTGTTTGTTGGAATACGGAAGGAGTTCATGATACATGGTCTGATTTTCACATGTGATACTATTGGGTTCATTTTGGTGTAATCTACTTATATGTGGAGTTAATAGTGGAATTCTTTGTGGTTTAGCAGATATCATGTGGAAGTTTATGGTGGAATTCTCTGAAGACGGATTTGGCCTCCTAGGCGGTTGGGTGGCCTGCACATAAAGAGGGGGGCCCTAGGCCCTTGAAGATGATATTGGGGGGTTTTTGTTGGTTACCAAAAAACCCCTTGATTGAGCATATAGAAAATTTATTTTTGATAAAGCACATTGTTTCTCATTTTTTTGTGTGCTATTTTCTTTTGCAGTTCAAACCATAGTTGCGGGAACTTTAACGGTAAGGCCATGGCCCCACCTTAGGAACTTGATTCCACGGTTTCTTAAAGGGATCTTAGAGGGCATTGGGTTAGAGAATAGGGATTTGGCTTTCTATAAAATCCAACCTTGGTCTATATGCTTGTAGGATCCTTCCAAGGAGTGGAGCTACACTATTAATTGAACTATGGCTTCTCTCCTTTGTTTTATAGTTTTATTTCTGTAGAATATGTTTAACTACGGTGCATATCACATCGTGGTATGCTAGAATTATGGTATTTAATAACAATAGTTGAATATCATAGTAGGCCAATTTATGATTTTATTAAACTGTATTATTGTAGTAAATTAGAGTACTATAACTATGACATTGGTAATAAACTAATGTCTATGATAATGGATCGAGCGAGGCATTTGCTCGATCCTAGTTTTACTATGGACTATTACTTGATCTCATTTTATGTATTCTTGAGTTTAGATCTCTCCATGTCAAAATTTGGATCCAGTGACATGGGATCTTACTCCTAGGTATCCTAGGTTATAGCTCCTTAACCCGTTGAATGTATGGACATTGATCCTAACCCCATGGAACTTCTACCCTATGGTGGTTTGGCGTTCGCCGAACCGGTGCTGCTCCTGAATTTGTTCCTACCTCCATCAACTATGGTTCAAACTTAGACATACATGACTTTAGAACTTGAAATTGAATATGTAAATCTTTAAATAAGTGAAAATTGCCCAAAATTCATCCTTTGTGCAACAATAGGAAGGCACAAATGCCACATTGAATACTAAGAAGAAATCATCAAATGAAGAGGCAATAAAATAGAAAAACATAAGCTTGTTGCCCCTTTTCATTGTTTGGACAATCTAAGGACTAATAAAGTAGAACAAAGCCGAGCTCGCTTGAGTTTTTTGACGTTGTTTTTAGAATGAGTTACCCAATCTTAATAAAATGTTGAAAAACTCAAAATGAAACCAATGAGGGCCAACAGTCCAAAGCCAAAAATAAAAAAAGAAAAGAAAAGAAAAAACAA